TGCACCTTCATCTATGGCACACCCACCATGTACGTAGACATGATTAACCAGCCAGACGTGGCTAAATATGACCTTTCATCAGTGGAAGCAGGTGGGAGAAAATCTACACTTTAATTTTTGTTTCCCATTTTTATTTAACCTGAATCAAGTTAAGTTTGGGATTTTTCCCCTCTTGATTTTTATTTTAAGGTGTCATGGCCGGTTCCCCCTGTCCACCAGAGCTTGTAAGGCAAGTCGTTTCTGTTTTGGGGGTCAAGGAAATAACTGTAAGTCTTGAATTTATTTTGCAAACTCCACTATAATGAAACGAACTAGGCCTGCAGTTCCTTTCTTTACCACCAGGGGAGACAAATCACAGCAATTAAGTTGCGCTACAGCTGAAAATCAAGTTGATCGTCAGCAGAAAGGAGAAACGAGAGTTGAATTCGTTTTAGGCTTTATTATCATCAATAACATTTAAAATTATATGGAAAGATAGTGAAAATGTGTAAGACATACAGAATTTATTGATAATTTCTCTCTACATCATGTTTTTATGCTCAGACATGTATAAGCCGTGTAAAAATAAAAACAGACAGCATTTAATGATAAATACATAGCTTATTAACCATTTTAATTCAGCTTCTATCTATTTTTTTTATTGGATTTTATAGAAGATTATTATGTTTTGAGTAAAGGTTTAATATATTCCTATACTTAAAGTAAACCGAGTTAAACAGGTAAATAACATTCATATTTACTCCCCCCCTTCCTTTAAAAGCAAATACACAGGAGTATTTTTTAATTAGCCGTAAGAATTATCTTGTGGTGTGTTTATCTGCACTGAGGCTACTTTCTGCTTTAATTTCTAATGTAAAGTAATTTAACTTAGTTTAAATGTTTGATGTAGTCTGGTTTTAAAGTTTAAATTTTCTAAAACATCTATTATATAGCATGTGAAGTCAACATGTAGTTTAAAATGACTTTCAGTATCAAAGTGGTGCTATGACATATGATTATAATTAATTGAGTAAATTAGCATGTCTTCCCTGTAAGGGTTTAAAGAGGAGCTACAGGCTATTGTTTATAAAGAACTGACAGAACACTCATGCATACTTGACCTTTATTGTTAAAGTGAAGTTAAACACTGAAACAACATTACTTCTGTTGACCACAGTAGTAGCTGATTTATATTGTTGTAAAATGTCTGGCTGCATCTGTGTTTAAACTAATGACAACATCTGACAGGTGAATGGACGAACAGTCTTGAAATAGAAGTGAGTTAGCACTACCGTTGTAGCCAGTCCCCTGGGCAGGTTCCCACTCACTACAGCTGCTGTGGGAAAGACACAACATCAGCACCAATGACCTGCATGGAAAAGAACATTGAGGTATGAATAGATGGATAGAGAGATGGGGATAAGGAGATATAGACGAACGAGGGCGAGTGAGTGGAAGGAGAGAGAGGGACAAGTTAAAGGGGTGAGAGAGGGGCGAGCTAGAGGGGTGAGTGAGTGGAAGGAGAGAGAGGGACAAGTTAAAGGGGTGAGAGAGGGGCGAGCTAGAGGGGTGAGTGAGTGGAAGGAGAGGGGGACAGGGGAAGAGGGAAGGGGGTGGGGGGGGGGCGGGCGAGGGGGGGGAGTGAGTGGAAGGAGAGGGGGACAAGCTAAAGGGCGAGCAAAAGGGATGAGAGAGGGGGCGTGCAGGAGAGAGAGGGACAAGCTAAAGGGGTGAGAGAAGGGTGTGCAGGAGAGAGGGGGAAAGTGAGTGGAAGGAGAGAGAGGGACAAGTTAAAGGGGTGAGAGAGGGATGAGCTAGAGGGGTGAGCAAGTGGAAGGAGAGAGAGGGACAAGCTAAAGGGCGAGCTAAAGGGGGGAGTGAGGGACAAGCCAAAGGGCGAGCAAAAGGGGTGAGAGAGGGACAAGCTAAAGGGGTGAGAGAAGGGTGTGCAGGAGCGAGGGGGAAAGTGAGTGGAAGGAGAGAGAGGGACAAGTTAAAGGGGTGAGAGAGGGATGAGCTAGAGGGGTGAGCAAGTGGAAGGAGGGGGAGGGACAAGCTAAAGGGCGAGCTAAAGGGGTGGGTGAGGGGCAAGCCAAAGGGCGAGCAAAAGGGGTGAGAGAGGGACAAGCTAAAGGGGTGAGTGAGTGGAAGGAGAGAGAGGGACAAGTTAAAGGGGGGAGAGAGGGATGAGCTAGAGGGGTGAGCAAGGGGAAGGAGAGAGAGGGACAAGCTAAAGGGCGAGCTAAAGGGGGGAGTGAGGGACAAGCCAAAGGGCGAGCAAAAGGGGTGAGAGAGGGCGAGTGAGTGGAAGGAGAGAGAGGGATAAGCTAAAGGGCGAGCAAAAGGGGTGAGAGAGGGACAAGCTAAAGGGGTGAGAGGGGCGAGTGAGTGGAAGGAGAGAGAGGGATAAGCTAAAGGGCGAGCAAAAGGGGTGAGAGAGGGACAAGCTAAAGGGGTGAGAGGGGCGAGTGAGTGGAAGGAGAGAGAGGGACAAGTTAAAGGGGTGAGAGAGGGATGAGCTAGAGGGGTGAGCAAGTGGAAGGAGAGAGAGGGACAAGCTAAAGGGCGAGCAAAAGGGATGAGAGAGGGGGCGTGCAGGGGAGAGAGGGACAAGCTAAAGGGGTGAGAGAAGGGTGTGCAGGAGAGAGGGGGAAAGTGAGTGGAAGGAGAGAGAGGGACAAGCTAAAGGGCGAGCTAAAGGGGGGAGTGAGGGACAAGCTAAAGGGCGAGCAAAAGGGATGAGAGAGGGGGCGGGCAGGAGAGAGAGGGACAAGCTAAAGGGGTGAGAGAAGGGTGTGCAGGAGAGAGGGGGAAAGTGAGTGGAAGGAGAGAGAGGGACAAGTTAAAGGGGGGAGAGAGGGATGAGCTAGAGGGGTGAGCAAGGGGAAGGAGAGAGAGGGACAAGCTAAAGGGTGAGCAAAAGGGGTGAGAGGGGCGAGCAAGTGGAAGGAGAGAGAGGGACAAGCTAAAGGGCGAGCTAAAGGGGTGAGTGAGGGACAAGCCAAAGGGCGAGCAAAAGGGGTGAGAGAGGGGCGAGTGAGTAGGAGAGAGAGGGACAAGCTAAAGGGCGAGCAAAAGGGGTGAGAGAGGGGCGAGTGAGTAGGAGGGAGAGGGACAAGCTAAAGGGGTGAGAGGGGCGAGTGAGTGGAAGGAGAGAGAGGGACAAGCTAAAGGGCGAGCTAAAGGGGTGAGCGACGGACAAGCTAAAGGGCAAGCAAAAGGGGTGAGAGAGGGGCTAGTGAGTGAAAGGAGAGGGACAAGCTAAGAGAGAGGCGATAAAGAGAGAGGTAGAGAAAAAGAGGGAGAGGGCGGGGGTGAGAGTGGGAGAGTTAGATAGAGAGAAGGGTCTGGTGCAGTGTCTTACCTATATTAGCTGCATCCTCACTGGCGTGTGCCTTTTTTAGCTCTCTTTGCCTTCACTCTGCAGCCAATGAAGGCGTTGCTGTCTCTGACTTGTTTCCCCTTCTGAGAAGGTGGAGAAACACACACTGCATCTGGACGACTGCGGCTAGAGTCCATCCACCTGAGGGTGTAAACCTGACCATTAGGGTCACAATGTCCAGGATGTGTCCTAAGGCATTTCTGTATTTGCAGTCATTACAGTAAAACATTCAGTCATGTAAGTTACTCTACATTTTTGTGGAAATGTAAACATGGCATTTGTATTTACAAAGGTACTATTAAAATGAATTAAAATAAAAGCGCTCCATATTTTATTTGACTACAAGAAGCTCCAAGTCTTTCTATTTCTATAATCAAATGGAATTTTTTAAAAATAGGATTCCTTTTTAATGACCAAGCTATAAAATGTCAGTCTGAAAACCTTAACCAAAAGGAATAGGAGAACCTTTTTCTACAGATTTCATGAATCAAGAACAAGTGTACTGTTCTGCAAACGTACTAATGAAAGCAGAGAAGCACTTTAACACATTGTCTCAGTGGTTCAGCCATTTTCCAGATTGCAACATTTCTGATTGACACTCTTCTCTGTCAGTGGTGGGAGTCTATGACGGGTTATGTTTGGTATTACTAGTTTTAAGATGGATGAAGATCGGCCTCTCACTTTCATGAGCTTATTGGTGAATTTGAGTTCGTACCTGCGCAGTGGAGCTAGCTGGCAGGTGCAGCTCCAAGAGTTGTTTGACAGGGTGAGGTTAGTGATTGTGCCAAATTCCAGGCTCTTGGGGAGGGACCTGAGCTTGTTGTTGTCCAAGTGCAGTGACTTGATGGCTGTCACTCCAGTGAATGCACCGTCAGAAAACTGAGGGAAAGATGAAGAAAGCATTTAGGGATTGTGGTTGAAATATAATCATAATAAACAAGTTCAACTTTCTGCATTGTACTGTTATATTACAGGACATGTAAATCAACCATTGAGCAGCGTTTCTCAGGAATGAAAGCCTCCTCTCATCCTTCCACCTGTACTAATAGTGTAACCTCACTTTTTTGCTCCTCCTTTTTTGCACCCATGAAGGTGTTAAAAGCTTCAGGGAGGTGTAAGATGAACATGCTGTCAAGTTGTTCGTTGTCCAGACAAAAAAGGAGGTTGGATGAGAGAAGAGAGCAGCTTTGAACAGTCCTTTAGTGCAAATAAATTAAAAGAGATGTTTGGAAATTTCCACTGCTAAGCGACTTGTAGCCAAATGACTGTTTTTTAAAGCAATGGAAGATGGATGACTTCCAGCCTGGCTGAGGTGTTTTTTTACCCTTTCTGTCGTCTCCCTTATTTGAGCCACTCCTCTGCCTGGAAGGCATTTGCAAAAGGCCAAAGTGTCTATTCACTTGAAGATGGCAGACTAAAAATACCGCTTTTCATACAGCGTGAAAAACCCTGCCTCTGTTTACTTATGTCATAACTCCTTCCTGACCTGTTTACAAAATGCCCCGAGCCAGAGCAGAAAACATGCCATGCTGAAAATATACCTCTACAAAAATGAGACGTTCTTGGCTAAAGTCCAGCAAATAAAACCTCTCTAAAAATACTTCAGTTTGGCTGGACAAATGGAGTGGCAAAAGTACACACAAATATTGAATTGATATAAATACTATATGCTGATTCAGAAAAGTCTAAAAAGTAACGCGTTTGATTCTATAAACTAGATAGTAACAAACTAGATGTATAATTTCCGTAGTAAATGTTTGACATAGATAAACAAGTTAACCACAAGTTAACATTTCATAATGAAAACGTCTCCTGCTAATCACTACTAAGATTCTTCTGTCAACAGCTGAACCTTTGTTTAAGAGTCACATAAACATGTGGGTTAGATACAAACAAACAACAAACTTTGCTTCAGTTTCCCCAGAGACTTGGGGTTTTCTTCCATTCCCTCTGTGACCATGTGTTTTTTTTACGCATAGACCGTAAATAATAAATGGACAGACCTTCCCTCAGCCAGTCACTATGAGACCTAGAAAAGATGATAACTCTTTAGCTGGTGTCAGAAGTAACTCTGTAAAAGTATGTGAGAACCGGACAATAACAATACTGGGTATTAAGATTAGGATAAAATCTAGAGAGAAATGACAAGTTAAAGTTGAAGAGAGATCATAGAATTGGACTACAGGTGTGTTAGGTTCAAAACTAACACATCATCTTCTGTTGTCTTGGATAACTAGTTTTAAAAATGGACATAATATTTTACCATATAAGACCTGGCAGTAGGGATCCAAAAGATAGGATCAATAAAAAAATAACTAATGTTAGAGCACTAGTGTGGTTCTGCTATTCTCAACTATTATAATTGCTGCTGTTCTCAATTACTTGCATGGATCAGAGGTTACAACCAAAAACCTGGGGAGAACGCTGCAGGAAACACAGGAATGCAAAGCTCTCTCCACTTATATGTAAGGTCTATGATTTCCCATCTGCCTTAGTTCCTGACAGTTGAGGTTTGGTTTTTACCAAATTACAACCTGGTTAAAGATGATAAGATGCCAAACCACCAAACAACAGCCTTCAGAGAAAAGCATGGTTTCTTCATTTCTGGACTTTTTTATTCTAGTTTTTGCCACTTCATATCTATAAAAATAAAGTTATTTATGAAATAAAAAAAAGTTTTTCTGCAGCCTAGTGTAACAGATAAAAACATCTGTGTGCAGATATCTTCCTTTGTAATATACATAACTTCCATAAAGTCTGTAGCAAACTAACATTTCAGCTTTGAAAAAACAGCAATACCTCACTAATTAACAAACATAATTTCTTCAGGCCTTTTAAATTTCTTGTTTTTTCTTATTTTTCACTACAAACAATAACTGCAAAATATAATAAAAATACTGTATGCAGTCATACTCAGCTGTCCGTTAATCACACCTCCAGTCTGACAAATGGTATTTATTCTTTCTTCTACACATAGTGTGTATCACCAGTAAAACAAGGAGGTAGTAGTATGATGATTAAATAAAGCATGTAAAAACAATTCACTTAATAGTATAAATACAAATCAGAGGCAGTCACTCACCCTCTCCAGATTCATGTTGTCCAGGTGTAGTTTCTCCATGTAGCGTCCAAAGCTCTGGAAGGCATTGTCTGGGATGGTCCTCATGAGATTTCTCCCCAGTGTGAGTTCCTCCACCACTCGCAATTTACTCATTGCCGCACTTGGATAGGTGGACATCTTGTTTCTGTCTAGGTGAAGAATAGCGAGGTTCTCCACATCATCTAGAGAGCCGGGATGCAGGGTGGTCAACTCGTTTCCGCTCATGTGCAGCCAGCGGAGGTCTTTGGCACCTGTGAAAATCCCTGGCCTTAATTCACGCAGCCTGTTGTCATTTAGCTGCAGAATGAACAGGTTGACCATGGGTGAGAAGATGCCTTTTGTCAGGTCACCAATCTGATTCCCGTCTAGGTGGAGGTAGGTAAGCTCGGTGAGATCATCAAAAGCACCAGGCCTGATGTTGTTGATCTCATTGTTGGACAAGTAGAGGTAGACAAGCTTCTTCAGTCCCTTGAATGCCTGGGATTCGATCTCTTTCAGTTGACATTGCTGCATGTGCAGAGAGATAAGACCCTTGCTTTCGCTGAAGGCCCCTGTGGGGATGCTGCCGATGTTGTTCCTCTGCAAGTTCAGCAAACGTGTGGCCTCTGACACCCGGGGAATTCTCTTCAGTCCAACACTGTCACAGATGACGTGCTGAAGGTCACCGTGACAGTGGCAGAGGTTGGGGCACTGATTGGGGGCTCCCAGCACCGCTCGGCCAAGCACCAGGAGGCAGTTTCCCAGTAACAACCAGCTCACACAGCGCATCCTTGGTGAACGTCCCCTCCTGTAGCCACAGAACAAGAAAAACGAAATTAAATCCTCCTCAAGAAGCAAAACTGTAGTAAGAAAAGCAGTGTGTGTTTGTCTGTGTTAAGAGAGAATCAAATGGGGGGAGAGAAAGAGAGTGAGAGGAGGGAAAAGGTGAGCAAAGGTGGGCCGAGCAGACATCCCCTTTGAGAGGAGGATGGTCAGTCAACAGAACACACTGCACTATTTATAACATTTACTTGTGGAAAAAAAAGTGCAGAGGGCTTGCCCAGGGTGTTAGTGTGAGGTTTGCAGAAGGAAGTCAAGTGTCTATGAGAGATTAACCCTAAATGAGCAGAAGGACAAGAAACTAAATCTACAACGCCATCTTTATACAAGTAGGGACTGGACAGAAAAGTTGGTTCTTTGTTTGTTAGATTTGACATGATATAAAATATTAGTGCATCAGATTTAGTTTGTGTCTCTGCTCCTTTATTTCAACAACGTGGCAAAAGGTCAGGTTTGATTGGTGCGCACCAGGCCAGACATCTATTGTTTTTCATTCAGCAGTGGAAGGAAAAATGAGCCACTTCTGTGCAGCTGTTTGAAAACCTATAATAATCTCCAGGTGTTTGGCAAGAGTTGAAATTTAAGTTTTATGTCCTAACAATTACAAAGGATCCTAGGAATGGATGTTTGCAGCTACCACTGTACGTTCCTGTGTGCATTCCTTGGTATGGAAAAAAAAAGAGTTTGATGTTTCATGTAATAGTCTATTACAGTTATTACGTTATTATTATGATTGTAGCGATCAAGTTCCTACTGAGTAATTTTTCATCGCCTATGAAAAAGATCTCTGAACAAAGCTGTTTTAAAAGTTCCATTTGGGACTCCATTTTAGTAATAAAGACAAATCCAGGACCACAGAAAAGAGACTTCAATGGCAAAGTCAGGTCAGAGCCTGGTTTGGCTTCAAGTAATTAAGATAGATAGACCCACCCAGGATAAATATAATCTAAAGTTTACTTAACAAATATAATATTTTATTGGTAATATGTTGTGTCGGAATTGCAGGTTGTGATATTAAACAAAAGTATAACAAAGTGATAGTTCCTGTGAATCGTCTCTTAAGTTCTGGTCAGGTATATATTTCTTCAACCAAGAATGAAAAACTGCAGCAACACATCTACTATCATTATCAGTTAATAGGGTGGAGATAAAACTACGAGAGTGCAGTCGTGCTTTAGTGGGTGAAGTTGAGCCACATTCCTACCAGAATACAACTACATTATATGACATACTATGTGATATGTGATTAATGTTGACCTCCCTGTATTAATCATTTAGTTAAGAAAATTAAATGATTATGACTCGGGGCTAAATTCAGAAAAAAAGCTCTTCTTTAATGCTGGATAAAAATATGTTGATTCTCCTATTACTGCCTTTTCTTCATAAAAGCAATCAATTTTTCCTTAATGTTGTCTTGTTGTCAGACTTGTTGTCTGCTCTTACTGGATACAGGGGTTTAATAAGCTAGCAACTTAAAACCTTCTGACATCTGACACATCATTATATACTTTATTCTAGGGCTTGACGATATCTCGATATAGTTAATTTTGCATTAAAATGATAATTACATGGGCTGCAAATTCACATGTAGTGTAAAATACTAACAATAATAAGAGAAAATCAATTTGTTCTATAAATTTGTTTTCTCTATGATTTAAACATTTCTATGGTCTATGTGCAGAAATAGACACTGGGTGGTGCTGTAGCACCTGTCCCCTTGTCCTACGGATGAAGAAAACGCCGTTAGTTTTTTTTTACACAATTAATGAATTCTCAATAAAAGCATGTACTAATAATGCCCCAAAATCCCCCCAACCTCCACCACACACACCTACACACACGTGCCTTCATTTGCTAAGATATAACGCTCCTTTATTTGTTGTGAAGTAGCCTGTCTCATACAGCTGAGACTAAATTAGCCAACTGCCTACCTTTTATTTCATATATTAGACAATTTTTTGTTTAGTTTGTATTATAAGTTTTGATATTGTGCAGTGTGACATCTGGCATGTAGCTTAAACTTAAAACTAAAAGGATTTGCCTCTGGATAAAATTGATCTAATGTTCTATAATGCTTTTGGGGAATACTTACGTCACAGAAAAAATTTAATTAAAAAAAGTATCGCCATTCAGCTAAAAAATATTGAGATGACTTTTAGTCCACATCGCGAGCCCTACCTTATTCTTAGGTCAACCAGCTTTCTATGTCAGAACAATTGTTAAACCTCTGGTAAAGAAGAGAGATGTCACTGTGCACTGATCTGTGATCTGTTTGATTGACAGGTTGGATATGGTACCACAGAGAACAGCCCTGTGACATTCTGTGCCAGCCCCAAGGACAACATTGAGAGGAAGAGTAAGACATGTGGTTTCATTATGGACCATGTGGAGGTACTTCAACAACATCTCATCCTTATTCAGACATATCTTAACGAATAATTTGTGTCTTGACACAATTCATTAATTTGAATTGATCTTTCTACAGGCTAAAGTAGTGGACCCTGTTACTAGGGAGATCGTACCTCTAGGAACACCGGGGGAGATAATGATCCGAGGGTACTGTGTGATGCTGGAATACTGGAACGATAAAGAAAAAACCGAAGAGTGCATTAGTAAAGACGGCTGGTACAAAACAGGGTGAGTGCTGCACTTACACAACAGTCAAAAAAGAGGAAAAACGGGGTTCTAGCTTTTATCCCAGTATTTCGTACTTTGTCTTTCACTTCAGTGACATTGGCAGCATTGATGCGTTCAGCTACTGTCGCATTCAGGGTCGTATAAAAGACATGATCATCAGAGGAGGGGAGAACATTTATCCTGCTGAGATCGAACGGTTTCTGCACACACACCCTAAAGTGAAGGAGGCTCAGGTAAGAAAATTAGGATAGAGTGACTGACACACAAGTATTGGAGAATAGCTCAGAGGTAAAATACGTGAAACTAGACACCTAACAATTCAACACATTGAGTATATAAAAATATGGAAATGGTCAATAAAAATGGGATTTGCTATATAAAATAAATATTTTTTGCTTTTACTTTACTTTCTTTGGAATTTTACCAGGTGATTGGTGTAAGAGATTTTCGTATGGGAGAGGAAATTTGTGCCTGTATCCAACTGGTAGATGGAGAAGAATGTACTGCAGAGGAAATCAAAGCCTTCTGTAAGGACAAGGTGAGTTGTGTCTCCTATGTTTCATGTTGGCATCCCTTCAGACATGTTTTTAATGTTTTCCTCTGTCACCTTTTTACAGATTAGTCACTTCAAGATCCCTCGCTATGTACTTTTTGTGACCAGTTACCCACTCACTATCACTGGAAAGGTACCACACTTACAGCACTGCATTTGTATCTAAGACTCTTGTACATGCCTCATTTCTCTGAACTGCAGGTTTATGATTAATAAAACAGAGCGGAGGGAGTAAATGGAACAATATCCAGAACAATTTACTCTGGATATACTGTACATAGATACATACTGTAGATAGATAGATAGAAAGAAAGAAAGGAAGAAAGAAATAACTTTATTAATCTGTTGAGAGTTCTCTTCGGGGAAATTAAGACCATGGCTTGGTGTTAAAAAGCCCCCAGACAAGGGTTGTAGTCATAAACTTGTTTGCACGCACACCATATCTTGTTGGGTAACGTGGATCTACATATCTGATAAAACAGAATCGACTCAATGTTACGACTGATTTCAAATCCTGCCTTTGAGCTAATTTCAAAATGATTTATATTTTTGAGACAATTTGTTCCAGTTCCAAAACCGTTATATCGTTGACCATTATTTCAGCAGAGCCCACTAACACTCAAGGACAAACCTTTTCAAACATCCTGTCCATTTTCTCTCTCTCTCTCTCTCTGTTGCCTCAGGTCCAGAAGTTTAAACTGTGTGAGGAGGCTGAGAAGGAGCTGGGGCTGACAAAGGAAAAATGAGGATGAGGAAAAAGAGGAAATATATAATAGGAGATACAATTGGACCAACAGGACATTTTTGTAACAGGTACAAGATAAATATTTCATACTGTGGGTTTAAATACAGGACATAAGTGAAGTTTTACATCTGAAATTATGACTCAATTTCTCAGAGTTATGGACACACAATTGTTACCTGATCTGGCATAAAATGTAGTTTGACAAGGTCGATGTCGCAGGTCTGTGATATGGTACTGTATGAATGTTCGATATCCACCTGCTAGACATTGGGCAACTCTAGTCAAAAAGAAAGCAGAGAGAGGAAATTTGTGATTAGTGATCAGGCATAATCCAGAAATGGTGTTAAATAAATGTATTTAGTACACCTTTAAGACCACTAATAACACAATAGTTGTTAAGGAGAGATATATTAATACATGAGACCAAAATGTTAAGAAAATGTAGAAGCAAAAATATACTGCTGTAACAAAAATATCAAAAATAAAAAAAGTCTTATAATTCATGGTGCATCCAAGATATTGGTGGGACTTGTTCCTCGTCCTGTTTTAACCATTTATACATTAACTTGAAATAAATATTGTACTTGTATTGTTTAAACTGACTCTTATACTTGACTTAAACTGAAGTTTTTTTGTATTTACGGAAAAATTAAGGTATTCTTATTGATCTTGGTGGCTGTGCACGCCCCCAAAATCCATGGAATACCATTCAAAAACACATACAGGCACACAATAAGTGAAAAGTGAAAACTTTGTGGTATTATAAATGAGCCAACATCTCAGACACACCCCAAAAAGCCGTAAAGAATTTCCTCTGGAGTCTGACCAGGCTACATGTGCAGTCCACCTGATGCTGGACTGCAGGATCAGATGTCATCGTCTGTCTAGACCTGAAGGACTCAAACCCAGAAATAGCTCCTACGATGCCAAAAGAAAACAAACACAGCTCCTGGCTCTCACAAAAGAACCTCAAAGGTTTATTGTACCGTTTTTAGTTGACATATTTTGGGTTTGGATTTGACACTTTAGGACATGGTAAGCTCCAGTAACACGTTCCAACATCCGCAGCTGCTTCTCATGAAATCACTTTAAAGCCAAAGGAATGTACAT